CCCAGAGGGAGTAGGACTCTCCTGGCGCGCCAAGCTTGGCCGGCCAGCCTCCCCCCTCTAGTCCTTTATATACTGAGGCAGAGGCACCCCAGAAACACACAAGTTGATCCACGTGATCTATTCCTTAGCCGTGTGCGGTGCCCCCAGCCACCATATTCCTCGATAATACTGTAGCAGAGTTTAGGCGAAGCCCTGCTGCTGTAGTGCATCAAGATCGTCACCACGCCGTCATGCTGACGGAACTCTTCCCCGACACTTTGCTGGATCGGAGTCCGGGGATCGTCATCGAGCTGAACGTGTGCTCGAACTCGGAGGTGCCGTAGTTTCGGTGCTTGATCGGTCAGATCGGGAAGACGTACAACTACTTCCTCTACGTTGCGTCAACGCTTCCGCAGTCGGTCTGCGTGGGTACGTAGACATCACTCTCCCCTCTCGTTGCTATGCATCACATGATCTTGCGTGTGCGTAGGAATTTTTTTGAAATTACTACGAAACCCAACATTGACAGCCCAGACAAACTTGGAAGTTGGAACGGAGTTTGAATTAATAATATCAATATACATTGATTTAACTGTAAATACTCCAGATCTAGTCAACTTCCAGCGTAATCCATTGGGTTGGTGAGAAAGTTGAACCTCCATTAGTCTCCTAACTAGATGGAGCCATTCTTCCCAACGATTGCCCGCTAAGGAACGTCTAAACTGAATATTAAGGGGGGTAGATTGAAATATTGTTGCCACGAACACCTCACGTCGTTGAGCAATCCGATATAAAGACGGATATTGAATGGCTAAAGGTGAGTCGCCAAGCCAAGTATCCTCCCAGAAACGTGTACTTGCACCGTTTCCAATAACAAACCTCGTCCTATTGAACATTGATTGTTTGACTTTCATTAGTCCTTTCCAGAAAGGCGAATCAGTCGGCCTGACTATAACCTGGGACAATGTTTTAGTCTGGAGGTACTTGCTGCGGAGGATCTGCGTCCACATGGCCTCAGTCCCGGAGGAAAGCTTCCACAACCACTTACTAAGAAGGCATCTGTTCTTAACTTCAAGATTTTCAATACCAAGACCCCCTTGGTCTTTCGGTCGACAGATGATGTCCCATTTAGCAAGCCAGTATTTTCTTTTAAGTTCATCACCCTGCCAAAAGAAACGCGACTGGTAGAAGTCCAGTCTTTTCCTAACACCAACTGGGACCTCAAAGAACGATAAGAGGAACATAGGCATACTTGTGAGCACCGAATTAATCAAGATCAAACGGCCTCCGTAAGACATGAGCTTACCCTTCCAGCAGCTCAGTTTCTTCTCAAATCGATTCTCGATGCACTTCCATTCTCTGTTTGTCAGCCTACGATGGTGTATCGGAATACCAAGGTATGAGGAAGGTAAACTCCCCAACTCGCACCCAAACAATTGCCTATAAGACTCCTGTTTGCCTTTGGCTCTACCAAAGCAGAACAACTCGCTCTTATGAAAATTAATCTTTAACCCGATCAATTGTTCAAAAAGGCATAACACCAGCTTCATATTTCTCGCCTTGGCCAAATCATGCTCCATAAAGATGATTGTATCATCAGCGTATTGAAGGACGGATACACCTCCATCAACAAGATGAGGTACCAAACCACCCACTTGACCATTCTCCTTAGCCCTGCCTATCAAAATTGCTAACATATCCACCATAATGTTAAACAGGATAGGGGACATAGGATCTCCTTGTCTGAGGCCTTTATGTGTCTGGAAGTAATGACCTATATCGTCATTCACTTTAATTCCCACACTCCCTTTTTGCATAAAGGATTCGACCTGGCGGCGCCAGACTTCATCAAAACCTTTCATACGCAATGCCTGTTGGAGGAATGGCCACTTGACCTTATCGTACGCTTTTTCGAAATCCACCTTAAAAATTACTCCATCTAATTTTTTGGAGTGGATTTCATGGAGCGTTTCATGAAGAACAACCACCCCTTCAAGGATGTTTCTGTCCGGCATGAAAGCAGTTTGGGATTGTTGCACCACAGAATGCGCAATCTGTGTGAGCCTATTGGTCCCGACTTTGGTGAAGATTTTGAAACTAACATTAAGGAGGCAGATCGGCCTGAACTGCTCAATTCTCACAGCATCCGTTTTCTTAGGGAGCAATGTGATAGTTCCAAAATTCAAGTGAAATAATTGAAGCTGTCCAGAGAATAGATTATGAAACATAGGTAGTAAATCCCCCTTAATAATGTGCCAGCACTTTTTATAGAACTCAGCCTATGTCATAAGATAGTTTTTCGTCAAATCTTGCCACACTTGTGGTCGCTATTATATTAGCCACACATTTTATGACGGCCACAATTCCTCTAAGATTAGTTGTGGCAAAGTTAGTCATGATCCAAACATGCCCATAGTCCCCGTGGCTGTGGAGGAGGTCTGAACTTGGGAACATATCTGATGCACCGGAGCATTTTGTGCTAACGCGTGCACGCGGTCTCTATAACTACCAGTTGGAACATTGAAAAAACACTGGGGCCATTCTGATCATCAGCATATTTTGTCATTTTCATTTCCCATATTATGTTTTGACTTTAATCTGAAAAAGAATATAGCATATGTATTCTTGTTACAATTACAACATAGAAACTATTCAGACTTATTTGACATTTGTAAAATGGCTAAATCAACGAGTGCATCGGTAGCATCAAATGGCCCGGTGTACTAGTTGTTTCCCGTCTCAACTTCTTTCATGTGGTGACCTGTAGCGGCTCCCGGCCACAATGCCTCTAACATTAGTTTTGGCAAAGTTAGCCATGAACCAAACATGCCCGTGACCTCACAGCAGAACAGCAATGCTCCCCCTCAAAAAAAAAGCAGAACAACGATCCTCCGCGATTCAGACTTCAGAGTCATCCTGAATTCTCAGCGAACAACCTACCTTGTGCCAGCCGCTTTCCGCGGTTTCATTTGCAGGGATCAATTCCAGGACATGGTACAGCAGCGGGACACCGATCTGCGAGCTCGAGGCGAGCTGGGATTGATTCCTGCCTGGAGAATGATGGCGTTGGATTTTGTTTGCTTCGGGGCATGGCAATGCTCCTTGCTTGGAAGCACGGCGAAGGGAGAGGTACTCATTTCTCAGTGCTGCAGTGCAGCACGATGTTGCCGCTGCAGACAGCCCAGATGACAGTACAAAGGAAAATGATAGAAATAGAATGGCATGCCTGTCAAAAGTCTCAGGGCTGAGAAAGACATGATCATTCGGTGAGGTCATTGCCTCTTCTTTACTGCCAACACTGGCAGAGGGATTTTCTTTTCAGCGGTGTGATGTAGGTAGATTTATTTTCATGAACTCCTATGAACTATGATTTGCTTTTGCGTTTATATACTCCCTCTGTCTTATAATATAAGAGCGTTTTTGACATTACGCTAGTGTCAAACGCTCTTATATTATGGGATGGAGGGAATATATTTTATCATGATAGAATCCAAGAGTACTGTCAGCAGAATATTGGTTTTAAACATGTAATATTACCCCTGTCCGGCAATAACCAAATTTTGGACCAAAGAAACAGGTGCCATCATATTTGGAGCTAGGGTATCAGGAAACCACCATCTTTGGTACTTGTTATTTTCAAAAAACCACCACTTTCGAGGCTTGTGTATACCAGGCACCACTAATTGTGCGATTTGCTCGTTTAACCAGTTTCCTGACCGTGCTGGCCACCTGTCAAGTCGACGTGACATCAATAGACAGCGCGGGGAAACGGGCGTTAGGCTGTTAGCCCCTGGCTGTTAAAACAGCCCAAAGCAGTTCACCGTCGCCCCATCTCTCCCGGTGGTTCTTCTCTCTCCCTGACTCGTCGCCACAGCATTTTTGCCATGGTTTTATTGGGGCGGGGGGGCGGTCTGAAGACGTCGGCTCATTTGTCAGCAATGTGAGTACCACCCCCTCCTCCATTTACAAAAAAATAACAGGGGGGGTCAATATCTGTGAAAGCATCCTCCCCATACAGAATTTCAATGTGACTTGACCTGCATTTTCTTGATTTTTTCTCTTCAAATGGGGACACAACAATTGTCTGCTGCCTCTTGTTCCTCGTCAGTCAGTACCAATTTCTTGCTACTTTCATATTTCCTAATCATGAACTCCTATGAACTATGATTTTCTTTTGCATCTATTTTGTATCAGGATAGAATCCAAGAGTAAACTGATGATGACAATAACCAAATCTTGGACCAAAGAAACAGGACATGTCCACCTTCACAAATTATTACTATCATGCAAGGAAATAATTGGGAATGAAATCACTATGGTCTCCATTATTACTTGAAACCTTGTAGAAGCACACAATCAGCAGGTGATGTTGTACAAAGGATTATTCATAACTGAATAGTTAGTGCACACAGATGTGCGCAGTCATGAAAACCATATACATCAACATAAATAAACTCAAGCCTCAGTAACAAGAATCATGAACTTCAGTGAAGCTATATACACTCTCCAAACAGGGAACACTCACTCACACAAGATTCTCAAATTCTATCCACTAGATCAGTCATGGGGACCCTCCAAACTTTGGTGGAGTCATGAGACTTTTTGTCAGCCATATCGCGGTCTCTCTAGATGACACGGCTCCTTCGCCAAATGGTCGAAGAATACCTGCGAGCTCATCAAGCCTCTCCTGCTCCAGGAGCTTTGCACAGATCTCAAGAAGTGACTCCAGAGCATCAGCTCTCTGCTGCACTATGTTCAGATGATCAAACTCGGCAGGTGCGCTGCCTGCATTTCCCAATTTCAGCGTGCTCACTGGTGATGATTCCTCCGTCACAACATCTACATCACCCATGCCTTGTTTTACTCCTTGACAAGACTCTGTCTTCACATCCTTCCTGTGCTCTTGCACCACTCCAATCGTCATTTCCTCATTTGGTACTGGTACCTCATTAAGCTTTTGACTTGCACTGTTAACCGGCGCAGCCTCTACTGGACTGCGGGTTCTGATAGTTTTAAGACGTATTGTCTCATCAATCTGTCCATCAGTTGTTGCTGCCAAATTCTCCTCTACATGTTGAGGTGATAAAACATGAGCTGTTAGCTCTTCCTTGTTTCTGGCTTCAGGATCCACTGACATTTGCAAAATGCAGGGATCCTGGGTACCAACAGTTGATAGATCTGAATAGTTTGTCGAGCTGTCTCTTGTTTCCGCTGTTTGCTCTGCTGCTGCTTGTAATGCTTCGCTGGATCCGTTGGCTTTGCCGACTCTCTTTCTGCCGCCACTTGGTTTTCTTGACTGCTTGTCTCCCAGGTTACTCTTGTTGGGTTTTACTGGAAGGTAGATTGGAGAGCAGTTGATTGATTCAGCCAGATACGGCTGGAAATATGGGTGTCTCAATAGCTCCCCAGCCTGTAAAGTATATTCATTTAATTAGCCTGTTATTCATGTATCGACGGCTTTGATTGAAACAGTTGAACAAAGCTTCTGGTACTTACAGTTGGTCTATGTTCTGGATTTTTCCTCAGCATACTCTTAACTATCTGCTTCCTGTGAAAGAATGCTCGATTTGGTAAAAATAAAGTTGATCCACAGTACTGAGAGGTCATTTAAAATGAGGTACTCACAGTGACGATGAGTATATTGGGGGCATTGGGGATATTGACGATCTGTTTATTTTGTTGACTAATGTTGCCATGTCCTTCACAGACACATAAAAGAGTATTTCATGAGTTCCCAACATATATAGAGAGAGAAACTGAAGCAGGCAATCAAAAAATTATGTTGTATAAGCACTAACTGTAGCTTTGAATGCAGAGCGGTGTGCTAAAATCTCGAACATACAGCAACCTGACAGGAAAAGAAGAAAGACAAGCTTTCTGAGCAGCTGTTTAATTCTGTCAATCATTATCACAGAAGACTAGAGTTAACTTCAACAGAAATGGACTGGGAGCTCACCAAGCGACCATATATCAGATTTGTAACCATAAGGTATGTCCGCGAGTATTTCTGGGCACATGTAGTTTGGGGTTCCTACTACCTGAAAAACATAAATTTCAAAGATTGAAAATTGAGAAGTGGAATCTGTCAAGTCGTTTATATATCTTATAAACTTGGGCATCAGTATATCCCTGGGTACATGCTATTTACTTATTTTCATGAACATTTATTCATGTTATACAGTTTTTGCTTTTACGTTTAACTGCTGTAATGCGACTGGTGATCAGAAACCATATTTGATGATTAAAAGGTCAGAGCATTACATGATTTTTTTTCTTTGAAAATTAGTTTTACATGAATGGTGGTTATGCTCGTACATTTCATACTTAATTGGGACTATACACAAGTAACAGATGGTTGTGAATGACTGAACATGTCCTGCCAATTACATGTACATCAATAATAAGTTAGCAAAAGGTTGAGGCGTACCGACGACGCAAGATCCTCCATGAGTAATTTTGCTAACCCGAAATCAGCTGTTTGGAGAGAGAATGAACACACACGTCATGATATTTTCATCTGACCAATGAAGTTGTGTAGTAATTTGAGGCTACATATATGTATCTTACCAAGTCGTATGTTGTTATCCTTGGTTAACAAGATATTGGAACACTGCAATGCAGCAGGTGGTGAGGAAAATGTTAGACAACGCTAATACCTTGTACTAGAAATGAAATGATGTATCCATGGGGGCCAGCAGTTATATTTTACCTTGAGGTCACGGTGGAGCACGCGGTTGCAGTGCAGGTAGTCAAGGGCCAAGAGCAACTGTGTGAACCACCGGCACACCCTCTTCACATCACACAAGCACCAAACATACAGTAAGTTTGTGAAGCCTGAACATGTAGGAGTAGCATATTTATTCATCTGATTACAGTAAGTAATAGTGTTGGTACCTCTTCCGAGAAGAGGACGCCTCTTGCCTTCTTGATCCTCTGCGCCCTGTGAATTCGACGTCAGTGAAACAGCAGCAGGTAAGGTGAGCAGAGAAACGCAGGGCGAGGAGGCAAAGTGCAATGAGATGTTCTTACATGTCACCTCCTTCGCAGTAACTTGTGACGATGCAGACGGAGGTCCCCTGCAACCACGAAACAAATTCAGCTCAGTCTTGGCCGACGAACGCCCAGCCCAATCTACAGTAAATTCTAGTGTAGTTGCAGTACCTCGTCGACCCATCCGTCCTTGTACTCGACGATGTAGGGGTTGCTGAGGCTGGCCATGAGGGACATCTGCAGACCCACGAACTGGTGAGCTGAGGCGAGGGGAGGGTTTATTAAGGTTTGAGGTGATTGAGTGATTACCTCCTGGTAGGCGGTCCGCTGGAACTTGTCGTTCTGCTTTGTCAGCCGGATCTTCTTCATCACGTACCTGCTTGGTGAGCCAAAGATTGGGTTGGTTCAAGGGGAAGGAACGGCAGAGGAGAAGGAAGATTGAAGAGAAGAAGTAGAACCTCTTCTTCTCGGCCTTGTGGTGGACGAGGTAGGCGGTGCCGTAGGCGCCCCGGCCGATCTGCTCCACCACCTCGTACTGCTCCATGGGATTCCTTACCTCTTGCTCTTGCTTGCTCGTCTTGTGGATGATACGATGGCGCTCAGGTGAGGACAGGGCACGGGGACGGCGCTGGTGATGATGGTCGCGGAGAGGAAACCGTGCATGCACTGCAGCTGCACGCGGCCCGTGTCCACGCGTGTGGAAGTGGCGCAATAATGTCCGGCGCGCTCGCTCTGTGTGTGTGTCGGGTGTGGCCGAGGAGGAAGACGGAGACCAATGGAAGGAAGAGAAGGTTTCCCTTGGTTTTAGGGGTGGTTAGGGCGTGCTTTATGTGGAGCTCAACTAATTAATCCGTCGTTGGTTCATCATTCGATTCCATTTCATTCTCTGGCGGTCGCGGCGCGGTGCAGCGTGCATAGAGTGAGTTGAGTAGTGGAGGAAACGTTGCGCTTCCGGGTGCTGGAGTGGGCCCCTACTGACTCACGGTGGATGGAGTAGTATTTTCTCTCTATTTTTTTCTTAAAAAAAGAGTCACGCTTGTATTAATAACATCAGCAAACGTGGCATCTCTCTCAAGTCTGAAGAAATCCATGCAGTCCCTGCTTGCCTTTTCCCTGTGAAAAGAGCACCGACCCTTTGGTCTGGTCTGGTCTGGCTCTGGCTGGCATGCAGAAGAATCAAGAAAGGTTTCTCCGTTTCACACTGTCCATGGCATGTGACAACTGTAAATGCCGTCAGCTCCACTCCACTGCGCCTGAGTAGTGGTGTGTGTTTAATACTCTACGGGTAGCCAGTGTAATAAGTAAATGGCGAGCAGTTTTACCTTGTGGCCACCCATGCGGCAGCATTTGCATGTGCCTTTCCTTGGGGCCGTGCAGTGCAGTGTGCATCGGCACCACTGCAGTACAAGTCAATGTCGAGATTTTGCGCCACTGCAGTCTGCACGCAGTCCTGCTCTCTCTGTGCTCCGGTGAAGATGCTGACTGCGACACAAGACAAGGGCACCGGTAGGAGAAACAAATTAACAAAATGAACTCGCCATCAAAGTATTTCACCCGGCTAATCTTTTTAGATAGCGTCCCACGCATTAGCGCTATACTATGCTGCATAGCGTCCGTCTGATAGGTGCTACACGCCTCGCCAGTGTGGCATCTCTGGGTCAGGGCGGACCCACCCCTGGTTAAGTAGCACACAACTCATTTCATCCGAAAAAAATGCTCACATTTGCTCAAGTCTTCCAAGTTTAGGCAAACCCTAGTTTTTCCTGTATTTTATATGTGTATGGTAATATGAGGTGATTGTTTTTTTACTGGAAATATGAAGTGATTGTTGGGTGTTTAGCATATGCATTGGAATTTTGCTAGGGTTAGGGTTATGGTTCTTGTTATGTTGGGGTTCGGGTTATTGTTCGATTTCTATGTTAGGGCTAGGGTTTGGTTATGTGACTAGGATTTTGTGTTAAGCTTCGCATGAGTATTATGAAATATTTTTTGTTGTTGTGTTGTTTTAATTATTTTAGGGATGAGGAGAACATGTGTTTATGTCCATCATCTTCAGACCGGGAGGATTCGGAGAGGGATTTGAGAGGGGGCGAGAGAGAGAAACCGTGGCGACCCCCTCTCTATTCGCCAACTTTGTGTGCAGGCTGGCCAGGGAGGGCCGGCCCTTGCCGGTTATTAATGTTGGAAATATGCACTAGAGGCAATAATAAAATGGTTATTATTATATTTCCTTGTTCATGATAATTGTCTATTGTTCATGCTATAATTGTGTTATCCGGAAATCGTAATACATGTGTGAATACATAGACCACAACACGTCCCTAGTAAGCCTCTAGTTGACTAGCTCGTTGATCAAAAGATAGTCATGGTTTCCTGATTATGGACATTAGATGTCATTGATAACGGGATCACATCATTAGAAGAATGATGTGATAGACAAGACCCAATCCTAAGCGTAGCACAAGATCGTGTAGTTCGTTTGCTAGAGCTTTTCCGAATGTCAAGTATCATTTCCTTAGACCATGAGATTGTGCAACTCCTGGATACTGTAGGAGTGCTTTGGGTGCGCCAAACGTCACAACGTAACTGGGTGACTATAAAGGTGCACTACGGGTATCTCCGAAAGTGTCTGTTGGGTTGGCACGAATCGAGACTGTGATTTGTCACTCCGTATGACGGAGAGGTATCTCTGTGCCCACTCGGTAATGCATCATCATAATGAGCTCAATGTGACCAAGTGGTTGATCACGGGATCATGCATTACGGTACGAGTAAAGTGACTTGCCGGTAACGAGATTGAACGAGGTATTGGGATATCGACGATCGAGTCTCGGGCGAGTAACGTACCGATTGACAAAGGGAATTGTATACGTGATTGATTGAATCCTCGACATCGTGGTTCATCCGATGAGATCATCGAGGAGCATGTGGGAGCCAACATGGGTATCCAGATCCCGCTGTTGGTTATTGACCGGAGAGTCATCTCGGTCATGTCTGCGTGTCTTCCGAACCCGTAGGGTCTACACACTTAAGGTTCGGTGACACTAGGGTTGTAGAGATATTAGTATGCGGTAACCCGAAAGTTGTTCGGAGTCTCGGATGAGATCCCGGACGTCACGAGGAGTTCCGGAATGGTCCGAAGGTGAAGAATTATATATAGGAAGTCCAGTTTCGGCCATCGGGAAAGTTTTGGGGTCGCCGGTATTATATCGGGACCACCGGAAGGGTCCCGGGGGTCCACCGGGTGGGGCCACCTATCCTGGAGGGCCCCATGGGCTGAAGTGGGGAAGGGAGCCAACCCCTGGTGGGCTGGTGCCCCCCTTGGGCCTCCCCCTGCACCTAGGGTTGGAAACCCTAGGGGTGGGGGGCGCCCCACTTATCTTGGGGGGCAAGCCACCCCCCTTGGCCACCCCCCTTGAGATCCAATCTCTAGGGCCATCGCCCCCCCTAGGGGCCCTATATATAGTGGGGGAGGGAGGGCAGCCGCACCAAGTCCCTGGCCCTTCCCTCTC